CCAGGAGGCTGGGACGTGACCTTCCCTCTCCTTGGCATGTGCGGACGAGGGGAGCGACTTTTCCTATGCTGTCTGATCCTCAGGAGGCCCCGGACAGCAAAGGGTGTTATGTCCACTGCCGAGGAGCAAGAACAGAGCTTGATTCTGAAGCTCCATAGCCTGGAGCTGGTTTGGAAGGGGTAGACATGTGAGTGGCCTGGCAGCAGCGGGCAGGGACTAGCAGCCTTGCCTGGCTCTTGTCTCTTCTGTCAGTAATGTTGGGCTGGCAGGTGGAGCAGGTTGTTTGATTGGGAGTGACGGATGCTAATGGCAGCTCAGAGCTCTGGGCATAAGTATGTCATGTCCGAATCTTGAGCGTATAGCCACAGGGCCATAGGCTCTCCTGGAAGGAGAATTTGGAGACTCTTGTGATCCTCAGCCTTGACTCCCTGGCAGAGCCCAGGTGTAGCCACAGGACCCTGGTAGGAGCTAAGGGGCTGGGGATGGGCCCTCATGGTCCTGCTCTGCTCACCCGGAGTCCCGGCTCTCCCCCACCCTCCTGGATCAGCTCCCCTCCAGGGAGAACATTCAAGTCTGCTCTGCGGGAGCCCTTGGATGTCAAACTGGGTTCCATCAGTCTGCAGGCAATCTGCTCAGACATGCTGCTCAGAGGAGGCTGTGGCCTCTGTTCTCTGGCACAGCCCCGTGCTCCTCGAGGGCCTCCCCACCTTAGCCTTCCAGGTGAGCCACGCTTGTGGAGTCTGGCGCCAGATCACCTGGATTCAGACCCTGCTCCATCATTACACAAAGCTGTGTGGTACTGTGTAAGTAACTTAATGTCTCTGTGCTTCGGTTTACCTGCCTGTACGATGGGGCTAACAACAGCCCCTGTTGAGGCTTACAGGAGTTCTTGTGTTAAAGCACTTGGGAAGGTGGCTGGCACAACCTTAGCTATTGTTGAACAAAAAGCATCTCTTTAGGTCATCTCCTGTGTATTCAAGGTACAAGATGGCCTCGGCACTCTTCCTGTTCTAAGAGGCTTTGGGAGGGGACAGACTGTTTCCCAGATGTGTAGCTGGACCCTGGTATCAACTGCCTGGAAAATGTCACCCAGGAGGGGACAGCGATCCACACATGGCAGTTTCTATAGGGAAAGCCCTGTCTTGTCTTCTCTTTCCTGCTTGGGACTTGTACCCCTTGCCAGATGGAGCACTGAGGTCCTCCCAGCACCTTCTGAGCCTGGGCTTGAGGCCTGGTGGTCCCAGGTCAGAGCAAGTAACTTAAGTGAAAGTAGTGGCCAGGGACGTCGGAAGCCAGCTCTGCACCCTGCGCTGCCCCTCTCCAGCCCCATGACACTGGGCTGGAGCATGTACCTCTCTGAGCCTCTGTTTCCTCATCTGTGTCTGAGTGGCACCAGGCTGCTGCAGCAAGCATGTCAGCTCTGATTGCTTCCTGGACATGCGCACACCACACAGCCCTTGCTATCCCCCTCTACTGTTGCCACCTCCTTCTATGCCCACGGCTCTACCCTCTTCCCATCCCAGTGGATGGAAATACTCCTCTTCACTCGGGCAGCCACCTTGGGGTTTGTCAACCTCGGCACTGTTGACATTTCGGGCTGGATTGCTCTTTGTTGTGGGGGGTTGTTCTGTGCATTATTGATTATTTCTCAGAAGCCCTCGCCTCTACCCACCAGATGCCAATAACAGCCCTAATTGTGACAACCCAAAATGTCTTCACATTGCCAGGTGTCCCCTGGGGTGTGGGCAAAATCACTCCTGGGTGAGAGTCACTGAATCAACTTCACGGTGCCGTTAAGTTTATCTGCAAAGCATTTTCAGATTCGTATCTTACCTCCCTTTTCCTGGACTGCTGAGCCATCATTAGGACTCGTCCACTGCACAGCCTTCTCCAGTGGCCACAGTCTCTAACGTCCCCGCCACCCAGATCCCTGGCCCTTCCTATAGCCTCCATGGGAGATTCAACCCAAAGAATCACAGTGACTTACTGTCAAACCTGCGAGGGCAGATGCTGTACCTTACATCACCAGTCTCCAGTCATCACACTAAGAAACATTTATGGGGCACCCTCTGTGTACCTGATGCTGTACTAGGCACGAAAGAAACTGCAGAGGAAAGACGCTCTCCCTCCTCTAGGAGTCGGGCTGTTAAAGAAACGTTAACTAAACCAGAGTGAGAAATACTGTCACAAACGTGCACGTGCAGGTGGCTGGGAGGATCTGGCATGGCACGTGTCACCGAGTAGCCATTCAACAAATGTTCAGAATGATGAGCAAAGGACGTCATGGCTTGAGTTCTGCGGTTAGCGGATCTGGATTCAAATATTTCACTTCTGTGATCCTCAGCGTTTCCTATAAAATTCTCACAGTCCCTGCCTGTCAGGTTGTTGGAAAGATGAAATGAGAATGGAAACCAAGCTCTTGGCCAGGTGCCTGATCAGGGCCCCCCAGGAGGCCAGTGAGGTGCAGTTCTCCAGATGCCCACCAGGAGGTGCTGGGAAGTCCCTGGGGACCAGCTAGGAGTGAGAAATCCTGAAACCAGAGTGGGGCCAGGAGGCCAGTGAGGTGCAGTTCTCCAGATGCCCACCAGGAGGTGCTGGGAAGTCCCTGGGGACCAGCTAGGAGTGAGAAATCCTGAAACCAGAGTGGGGCCCCTGGCCAGGCCATCCCCAAACTGATGGCTTCCCGGAATGGAATAAGCAGCAAGAGGATGTGTCCTGAGTCGTAGGGACTTTCCTGACTTCACTTCTGTCTCCCAACCCAACCCAGCTAGCTGTCCTTCCCTGGTGGTTACAGGACCTTTGGAGGAACCCCTCACCTTCTAGACCTCTGACCCTCCTAGTTTCCAACTCTGGAATCCTACCGGATTTTAGAAGGAACGATGGCGGAATAGTGCAAGGTGGCATGTCTTAGCTCAGCTACCCACAACTCCAACAGCGGGAATATCACGTCTCCCGGAGGCTTAGAGTGAAAAATCCTGAGACTGGAGGGGCAGTTGGCCCCAGAGGAATCACGGACTGCTAGACTCCTTTGTCCGATATAAGAAAAGGAAGGAGGAACTTCTCCAAAAGCCCGAAAGAATGGAAAGGGAACCGACCTCGGGAACCGACCTCCACCGATCAGCGATGCCCTTTATGGGGCAGCAGAGTCATGCGATCAGGCCTGGAGGGCACGTCTTTGGGGGATGGGAGGGTTTGACTGGGCCTCACCGAGCCAGGTCCGGGGAGGGGTTTGGGTGGCAGGTTAATTTAGGGCGGGGCAGGAGGGCGGGTAAAACTGCTCTCTCTCCCGGAGTTCATCCATCGCCCTCGGTCGGTGAACCTTCTGGGTCCTGCAGTGTGGCAGCGCCTGTCAGAAACCGGAGCCTAGATCTGTGAGTTTGCAGCTAGTTCTGCATCGGCCTGAGCCTAGCAATCCAGTGGGAAGTTGGGATCTGGGAGCATTTCACCCCGGGGACCCCAAGTTGGAGAAGCTGGGAAAAGCTGGGCTCACTCCAGCTTTGTGAGTCTCCAAAAGCTGGGGGGACCGACGGAATCTCGGACCCCTCCCCAGTCTCACATCCACTGATCCCTGGATCCCGCCAGATTGGGCATCAGCCGGGGCACCCAGGGACATTCCGCTCCCGGATCCCCAGTCTCCTAATCCCTCCCTAACCCCTAGCCGGGTCCTTCACTCGCTGCTACCCAGCCCTCGGGACCCCGGGAGAGAAAGGTGCCTGACCTCAATTCCAAACGGTGGGAGCGGGAGAGATCAAATTTGGAGACTAAAAATTAGAGACCAGGAATGGTGGGGTCCATTGGCCACGTGAGGGGCTAAGATCAGGCTCCTACATCTCACCAGGGGAACACGAAAGAGACTCCTGGGTGTAGTCTTCCAACGTTTTCTATCAGATCTTTTTTTATTTTTCCCTTATTGATACCGCCGGTTATGGGTCGGTCATGCGTCCTGCTTCCCCGCATGTTGAGGTTTGCGCATTAGAGAAGCGCGTGGAGGGAAGCGTATAAAGAGGGATATTTAAAAAGGGGTTACATAGACTTCTGTAGGGAGGAAGAAAGGGGCCATAGCTGGTCTCCTAGGCTTCCTTTGTTCTCCTGCCCTCTTCCCCTTATCTTTCTCCTTCTTGCTTTCTTGACTAGGCCTAGGAATGCTGGGGAGGGGGCCAAAGGTAGGAAACACGTGGGCTGAAGGGGGAAGGGCTGGGTAGAGCAGCCCAGGACACCGCCGTTAACAATCTTACAGCTCCCTGTAGGGAGGGGCCATTCCTGGGGCTGGTTACCTTGGCAACAGGTTGGAGCCGGGGCAGGTTCTGGATAAGGATGGGGGAAGGGCTCTGGAGGAATTAACATTTCAATCCCTCAGGGGACTGTCTCCAACTTCCCAGACTCACTCAAAATTGGCCTCCTTGATCCGACCTGACTTGATTCACCTGTCTACACTGACTGCCTGTCGAATTCTGGCTTCACTATCACTCACATCTCTACTATTTTTGAAACCAAGTGTTTTTCATGCATCAGTTCGTTGAGGACCTGGGTGTCTGAATAGTATATTACAGTTTTGTTGTATATTCTTTTATTTTTACTTTTTTTTTTTTCATTTTTTTATTTTTGGGTACCGGGAATTGAACTCAGGGGCACTCAACCATGGAGCCACATCCCCAGCCCTATTTTGTATTTTATTTAGAGACAGGGTCTCACTGAGTTGTTTAGCACCTCGCTTTTTGCTGAGGCTGGTTTGAACTCATGATCCTCCTGCCTCAGGCTCCCAAGGCACTGGGATTACAGGTGTGCACCACCAAGCCCAGCCTTTTATTTTTATTTTTTTACTTCATATATATATGTATATATATATATATATATATATATAAATTTTTTTTTCTTCTCACTTATCTGTTTCCTGGATTCTTTTTTCCTGCTAATAGCCAACCTCTATGAATTCCTCTTTCTATAATAATCTTTTTTCTTCTCCTTCTTCCTAACCTTCACATGCTATACCACTTCTGTCTTTGTCCCCCATTTGAAATTGTAAGCCCCTTTTTTGCAAACTGACTGATTATATTGTAGACAATAATTGAACACATCATTTCTGTGGCTTGCAACAAAACTCTAGGCATCTTAATAGGAGCTATGTGGTTTAAGGCTGTATATTGTGTGCGTTAGGTGCTGTTCATATTGGTCTCTCCCTTAAAGGCGAGTTTCTGGAAACCTTCAGGGACACTTCACATCAACAGAGTAGAAACTATCCTGCCTCAGAACCACCCGGCTAGATGGGAAGACGCACAAACAAAATGAAAAAACAAGGGAATAAAGTGCTCCAAACAAACCAAGCTGCTCCCATAAGAGAATCCATCGAAAAAATATCAGTGAAGGAGTTGAGGATGTATTTAGAAAAAATGTACTACAACTTAAAGAATTTTATAAGAGAGCTGGCACAGGAGTTTTGCAGTAAAATAACAGAATCTTTTCAGGAGATGAAAGATGTATCAGAGGTCCTGAAAAGAAATAAAGAAGAAATCATTGAAGGGAAGGAATCACTAAACCAACTTAAAAGTTCAATGGAAAGTACCACCCACAGACAAGACCATTTGGAAGACAGAACCTCAGGCAATGAAGACAAAATATTTAATCTTGAAAATAAAGTTGACCCCACAGAGAAGATGGTAAGAAACCATATAGGATTTTAAGAGCGGGGCTCTGGGACTCGTCCATCTTTGTGTTTTAACAAATCATCTAGGTGACTCCAAACCATACTCCCCCTTAGTTCTAAGACAAAAAAGGAACTGTGTGGAACTTAGGAAGGGTCCCAGCCCTCCTGGAGACCTTCAGAAGCCTTTCAGATGGCTGAGCTTGGAGTCACCTGGGATTTGTCATAGAAGGAGCTGTTCCTGATTCATCACCACCCCTTTTGGATTAATGGGATCTGTCCTCATGGGCATCCTGGGGTGGGCAATAGCATTCTTTCTCTGAGGGTGGGTCATCTGGAGAAGGCTGAGCAAGACCCATTTCCCCTTCCTGTTCTGACCGACCTCTGGTGAAGTTGCCTCTCATGGTAAAATCTTCCTTTGTAGGGAGTATTTCCCCAAGGAGAGGCTCTGGCCAAGAGCAGTTTGGGTAAGAAAAGAGGAAGGAAGAGGGTAAGGGGTAGCAATGTGTTTGTAGGGAGAACCTCTCCAGAGGCTGAGCATGAGAGGCTAACCAACAGGCCACTACTGGCCAGGGCCACCTTGCATGCTCAGCATTTGGAAAACACTCCCCAACTCCGGAATCTTTAGGACCCACCTGGATCTTGACCTTGGTAGAATGCAGTGCTGCCCGTCTCCAGAGTTCTCTGGGTCTTTCCTGCCACTGATCCTACTGTCTCTCAGAATGGAAACCCCTACTTTATCTCACCAGATGTCAGTATCCAGAAGGGGGCTCGTCCCTTTGGGTAGGACTTCTCAGCTCTTCTCATAGGACAGCAAGTGAGACCTGGGTTCCTGACTGCTAGGGTAGGAAGGAGCTAGATTGACCTCAGTGGCCTGGAACCAGAGGTCACACCTGGCCATGCCTGGGCCAGATTCAGCTGACAGAGGAGTTTGAGGGGCTTACACAGTGTTGTTTTTTTTATTGTTAATAAGCTTTAAAGGAAGGGCCAAAACTTAGCCATTGAGGCAATTCACATAGAAACCATGTATTCCAGCTTCTCTTTTGAGCCCTCACATCATTTGGTGATACTGGACTCCTCCTCTTGCTTGTGAATCTGCCCCTCAGAGGCATCTCCATGGACCCTGGCCCTGGCTCAAGGCAGGAGCTTCTTCCCCTCCCTTCCAAGCTGAAGTTTATAGCAGCGGTCACCTCAATGGTTAGCATCCGCGTTTGCATTACTGTGCCCCAAACCTTGGGTGTTCTGCACAGCTGTTCCCTTTAACCTCCAGAGTCTCTCCTTGCAGGTTATTTAGGCTGCCAACAAAGGGCCTAAGACTTGATAGGACTCAGGGCTCGTTCTCCCAGAGAAAACCAATTAACCATCTCCAATAGGAAAAAGAGGATGCAGGATTTGAAGTCACATCAGCAGGAACAAAACAGGGACAGCCAAGTACCAACCCCCAACGTGCCTGGGCAGAAAAAAAGTCTGAGACAATTTGTGCATCCTCTACTTCCCTTGGCAAGGGGCAGAGTCCAGTGGGTTCCTGGATTATAATTTTATACTATCGTTGTTCATGTCATATGTATCTTGAAATAACCTCTCACCTCTGACCCTCACCCACACCATTCTTTCCTTAGGAGCAAATTGTCTCATCACTTGGCAAAAGTATTCTACACCAATAGCCAAATGTGCTTCTATCCTCCCCCTTTTTTTTTTTTTTTTTAATACCAACAGAATACTATTCTATACCTTGCTTTTTTTCCTCCCACATGTCCCAGTCACTTCCCTTATCAATGTATAAGAATGTTATCACTGTATCCTTTGCCATGGGTACAATACCTGTTCCCCTACGGATGGACGATGGGGTTGTGACATGGCCTTTTGCTACCATAAAGAGCATTTTGCTACCATAAAGAGCATTGTAACGAAAACCATGTTCGTATGTCTCAGCACACAGGAATGAACATATCTGTAGCGCAGACTCCTGAAAGTGCAATTGCTAGGTGGAAGGATCTAGATATTTGCCATGTGATAGATCCTATTAAACTGCCCTCCAAAGAGTTTGCCCTGATTTCCCACCCCTGAGCTTTGCCTGAATGCTTACCAGCACTGGAACATCTGAAGATACCTATGCATGGTTCATCAAACTGGACCCAAGGGAGACCTCTGTAGTGTGCTCTGTCCAGGGAGCAAGATTTTTCCCCTTTTCCCACCCTCTAATGTGAAGTCATTTTCTTTTTATTCTGTACCCTACAGATAAATTGCGTGACATTCCCTCACCCAGACACCATGCCTGAACAGCAACTGTTAAAGCCAACCGAGTGGAGCTACTGTGACTACTTCTGGGTATGTGCTGCCTCCGTGTCACCCCAACCTTCACTGTGGCCCCCATGATCAAGAGTGCACACCTGGGAGAGCTCTGGAGTCTAGATCAGTCTGAGAGGATTAGCGGGGTTTTCTGTTCTTAGCAACATGGAAACCCCCACCAGAATGCCCATGACCTGAAGGGTCATTTTCTTTGATGTTCAGCAAAGGCAGAAAAGGGTTGAATTTAACTCAGGTAGAGCACTTTCTTAGCACACCTGAGGCCCTGGGTTTGATGCCCAGCACTGAAAAAAAAAAAAGACAGACTATAGAGTTAGCTTCAGTAGACAAATTGGGCTCCAGACCTGATGTCAATGACCTTGAACAAGTACCATTTCCAACAAAACAGGGATGGGTTCAAGGATGTTCCGAGAGCCCCAGCTTTAAACATTTTGGGCTTGTAGAAGTTTTGCATATTGCTTGATGGACAGAGTTTCAGTCTTGCAGGATGAAACAGTTCTATGGGTGGGTGGTGGAGACAGATGCATGACACTGTGACTGTGCTCAGTGCCACTGAACACACACACACACCAAAAAAAAAAAATGGTGAAAATGAGAAATTGAATATTATCTGTATTTTGACACAATTAAAATAAATAAAACATTTAGGAAATACATGCAGAGTCCTACACCTCAGGAACTCTTGAGGGCAATCCCAGATATTCGCATTTTTTAAAGTCAGCAATGATTTTCAGAAGTAGATTGCCTTGATGTGGAATCAGAGAGTGGTGATGGTTGTTCCACCTTGCGGTTATATTGAAAACAACTGAATTGTACATCTCCAAAGAGAACTTTTGCAAAGACCCCGAGGAAAAGTAAATGAATAAAATCCTTTCCTTTTTCACCACTGTGCAAAATGGATTACCTATCCTTTTTTTTTTTTTTTTTTTTTTTTAGATTTGCTGAGTACTAGACAAAAGTTCTTTTTAAAAATTTTCTTCCAAATCATTCATACTCAGAAGCTATCCAAAGATTCCTATTGACCACCAGTAGGGAAAGTTCCTATCGCTGCAGCTGTGTGGCTTCAAGAGCAGAGAGATGTGCAGAGGTTAAAACGATATGAAATGGGATCAGGCTTTGGCATCAGACAAATGTGAGGAGATGAACTCAGAAGTGGGGGGAGCAGGGATCGGTGTGTAAGACTTTATAGGCCCCTGTAAGGGTGATGGGTTTTTTTGCTGTTTGCAGTAGGGAGTTGCTGGAGGGTTCTAAGCAGAGAGGTACACTGTGATCTAGTTTATATGCATTGTGCAGGCAGGAGTGAAGTTAAGAGGTGAGTGGAGATGACTGGGAAGGTTGGTAGCAGTGGCAGAGATGGAGAGACATAGCCACACTTGCAAAGCTCACCCCTAAAAGAGACCACTTGAGGGAGAAGGGTTTGAGCCCTGGGAATGGGTACTGGGGAGCCTAGCCTGGAGCTCAGTGTTGGGGGATTTAGGGAGCTTCAGGAGCTGGAGGGAGTGTGTGATCCTGCCTGCTGGTCAGCAGCATCTGAGGGTGTGACACTCAGGGTACTTGGCTTAATTTCAGCTCTCTGGGGACTCTGATGCTTACTCTGGGGGTTCTCTTTCCTGACCATCAAGATATTTTCCTCTTGAATAGAAATTTCTCTTAGGATGGCATCTGGTGCATGCCTGTAATCCCAGTGACTCTGAAGACTGAGGCAGGAGGATCACAAGTTCAAGGCCAGCCTGGTCCTGTCTCAAAATTAAATAGGGCTGGGGATGCAGCTCAGAGGTAGAGCACCTAGGGGTTCCATCCCCAGTACCTCAAAAAAAAGGGGAAGGAGGAGGAAATGTCTCTCTGCTAACAGTAGTCATTAAAGCTATTTCTCTGGCTGGTTTTCCCTGGAGCAGCAGATGAGTCTTAGAAGGGAGGCAGATTTGGGCTCAGAATTTTGCTTAATTTTTTCTTTGCTTTTTCATCAAGAGTGAAGTACACATATCTCCAGTGGAGAAACTTGTAAGCAGCAAGAGAAGCCCCCCTCTGACATGACTCATCCCGTAGGGTGTGATTGATGTCCTGTCATGAGAGGTCTCAACAGCATAGCCAGAGGGACTTGGGTCAGGGAGGCCGAGGAAGGGATCTTGAATTGGGCAGGACCAGAGGCTCCGTAAAGTCGTTCATGTGCCTGACCATTGTAAATGGGGTTCTCTACAAGCACAGCAGTGTCTTTCCTGTCCTCTGTCCTAAATGTGTGATCTGAAAGAGATCCTAGAGATGCAGGCTTCTCCGATCGCCAGGGATATGGTGGAGGAGAGGGACACAGCCTAGGATTGGATGAACCTGACCTTTTCATCTTGTGGGAGAGCAGAGATGAGTACCTGGGTCTTTCTAGATGCTGGGGACAATTTTGATATCACAGTGTGCCTCTCTGTGATATCAAAACCCATTTTAATTCCTTCCATTAAGAATCAAAGCATTTAACCTTAGATTCCTGGTAAAGAAAATCTGTAATGCAGGAGGACACCTTTTTTTTTTTAAGAGAGAGAGAGAATTTTTAATATTTATTTTTCAGTTTTCGGTGGTCACGACATCTTTGTTTGTATGTGGTGCTGAGGATCGAACCCGGGCCGCACTCATGCCAGGCGAGTGCGCTACCGCTTGAGCCACATCCACAGCCCCTGGAGGACACCTTTTTAATCCTGGTGACAGCCAGGGGCCTCGAATGTCTCTGTAGTTGGTTCTTGTGGACAGATGACAGGATGCATGATGAGCAGGGAAGAAGTAAAAAGAGATGCCAGGTGGCTGAGGGAGTGCAGATAAAACAGATCATTTCATTTTGAAGTTTTAAGAATATTTGTTTACAAAAATTAATTGGGTCCTAGTTCCCAAGTCATTGTCTCGGCTCTCTCAGGTTCTGACTTTTATTTTAGAGCAACTAATAATCGAGACCATTAATTGAGTCATTACTAGGTGCTCGGCATTGTGCTGGGGTCAGCACTGCCAGGCAAATTGGTGGGTGCTTTCTGGGATCTGTCTTCCCTGAACGCCATTCTCCTGGGCACCCGGTATCACCTGAATGCTTCTTGTGCTTCTTTTTTCCTTCCCAGGCTGATAAGAAGGATCCCCAAGGCAATGGCACGGTGGCTGGGTTCGAACTGCTGCTCCAAAAGCAACTGAAAGGCAAACAAATGCAGAAAGAAATGTCTGAATTCGTCCGAGAGAGGTAAAGACCCTGGATCTCCCACCCAGTTGCAGGGACTGGAGATGGGTCCCACCGTGAACCAGTGGCCTGAGGGGAGTCAAAGAGTACTCAGCACTGCATGACCAGTTTGGGGCTGGTTGGCATGAAGAAGAACATAGGTTGGGGTCCCAGATGCATGGCTTCTGGGGTAGATCTGATCAGCAGATGTGTGGCTTTGGTCTGTGTAGTGTTTCTGAAAATTTGAACCAACATTTAAAAAATACTGGTAGATTTTACATTAAAATCTGGATACCTAGCATCTCTTGAGAAAGCACCGGGTTGATGGGATTGCCTCTTCACCCCTCAGGCAGTAATTGCCTGGAGGTCAGCAGCAGTGCCCTGTGGAATGGGCATGTGTTCCCATTTTGCTGCAGTCTCCCCCACAGACTGTTTCACCCCTTTATCTGGTCCTCCTTTGAAGCACTGTTCCTCACCATAGGAACATACTCATCCAAAAGAGGAGTATTACCTTTCAATTCATCTTCAAACCAAAACTGATCAGGCTAAGGAATGTAGAACCTTCCTCTGCCTTCAGGGGAAGATACCAGTAGTTTGTCTAAAGAACTTGGGAACATTGATGAAGAAATAACAAATTCAATCCAATAGAAATAAGGAAAGCTGCAAAACAAAAGAGAAGTTCCTTCTCCTTCCCCTTGCTCCTCTCTTGAGAGTCTGATAACACACGCTCATATATCCGCACACTTCCTCGTACCCACCATTCACACGGGTGTGCGCACACATAGGCACAATTTTGCAAATAGCATTTCCAAGGCATATTGGAAATATTCATTGCAAATGGCGATATCTTTTAAAAATATTTCTTTTATTATAACAACCGTAATCAGATAATAATGCTTTGGCATTTTTAAAGCACCCTTCTCCTTAGGAGGCCCATTTTCTATTTGTATAATCAAATCTTTATTTTATGACCCATTAAACTGGTAGGAAATTGGAAGGCTGCATTGCTCAGGAGGGAGAAAACAAAAATATAAAAACAGGCAAATAGAAAAGGGATGTCTAAGCCAAAGTCTGAACGGGCTCGTGGTTTATGCTCATAACAGTGTAATGAGCTCTACCGTTGCAGGTCATTCTGGCCTTCCTAGCTGAAATGCAGATTCCTCTAACTTTCTCAATCCATCTTGTGGGGGGCTACAAAGGATGTACCTTTCAGAGCCAGGAGAGGCCAGAGCTTAGGTGCAGAGGTGGAGTATGCCTGGCTAGGGACCAGGTCCCTGGTTTGCTGTGGCTTCCACTAAAGAAAGCAGAACAGGAGATGGAGGTGATGCAGGCTGGTTTGGGAGGTGAGGCTCAGGAGACAGATGGCAGGTGCACCTTCTCTGCCCTGGCCTGTCCTTGGCACTGTGACATGCTTGGATCTGCTTTCAAGAGGCCTTGGCCACAGTCTGGAGGTCCAGGCTGGCAGTCTGTAATCCTGGGAGGGCTGGAGAGGGAGCAACAGAATTGAGAGAGAAACCAGGGTTCAGCTCTGGGAGACCGAGAGACTGGCTAGAGGTATAGATGAGATCCAAGCAGAGCAAGAAGGAACAAGAGGATGAGTCCCTGTGCCAAACTGTGTGACCATTATTATGCAAAATGCTGCTGCTGCATGGTCAGCCACCTTCTCTGCACCCAAGTGACCCAGAAATAAAACACTGCAGCCCTTTAGGTTTTCTGTGTACCGCATGACTACCCAGGGGCTCTCTAGGGTCCCATCCCTCTGGCCAGCTCCGGTTGTCATAACATAGCTCTTCTGCCTCCCACAATGGTCCCAGGGAGCGCTGAGGTGGTGAGCAACGCCTTTGACAACACACTTAACACAGACATGCCCGATACACAGAACACTCCCCAGAGAGTCACCTTGCAAGTGTGTGAAGGGCCTACCTGCTGGAAGCCCTGCGCAAGGTAGCTCTCCTCCCCAGGGGAGCAGAATCGGGCTGCGGCCCTGGACATTGACCGGTTTCCATGGAAATACTCATGCCCTTGACAGTGCTTTGCAATTAGAGGCATTGGGTGGGAGAAGGTAGAGATGCTCTATTGCTTCAAAGAGGCTGAGGCCATCTGGGAGGGTCTAAAAATCAGAGTCCAGGCTTGAAGGCAGAAGGAGACACCTGTGGCCATCCATCCCCTGGGGTCTGTGTAAGTAGCATTCATTCAGATAAGGGCACCTGTGTATCCAGGATTTTGCCCAGAGCTGTGCAAATGTTAGTGCTCATCTTCATAAGCCCCAGGAGGCAGGCGGAAATGCCCGCTGTGCAGTTAGAGAGACAGAGGTTCAAACGGTTTCATGCATTTATTCAATAAATATTGAGAGCCACACACTGTCAGAGCTTACGGTCTGTCGTGACCCAGTGGTTCCCTTTACACAGCTGCTACGTGACAAGGAGCAGCTCCTGTCCGCCATCCCGCACTGGTGAGCTGATGCATTGGGTTTTCTCCTTTGGCAGGATAAAGATTGAAGAAGAATATGCAAAGAACCTGGCTAAGCTCTCTCAGAACTCCTTGGCTGCACAGGAGGAAGGGTGAGTTGGGAGGAGATTGATGGGACTGGGGAGGATGAGGGGACCTTGAAGAGCCTTCCTCACCCATCACTGGAACAGTGAGTGAGCTTTGGATGGGGAAGGAAGGTCTCCATAAGCCTGGGTCGAGGGGGGATCCGTGCTCAAGTTGGTGGCTCATAGCTCAAGATATGTCCTCGGGACTGAAGGTGTGCACCTGTAGCTCAGATGGGGCACTATAACTCAGAGTAGGCACCCATGGCTTAAGATGGGTGCTAATAGCTCAAGGTGGGTGCTCAGGTTTTATTGTGGATGCTTATAGTTCAAGGTGTCCACCTGTGGCTTAGGGAGGATGCTCTTAGTTCAAATTGAGCATCCTGAGCCCAACCAAGGTACGTACCTGTGACTCAAAGTAAGGATGTCCATGTTATGTGTGGGGACGTCTATGTTGTCTTCTCTCTAATGAGCCAGGGCCCTCCTGCCAGGTGCTGGAGCATGTCAGAATCCCCCCTGCCCTCTCCCCTGTAGCTGGGCAACAGCCTTAGATGCCCACCTCCAGATCCCCTTCTTTTGAGGGCAGGGTGGGAGGAAACTGGGCATGAGAGGATTTCATGCCTCGCCCCTTGGAACTCCCTCCTGTGGACCTGAGGCTCAGGCTTTGCTTCCTGCTTCCTCTGCAACCCTCCCAACTTCCATGAGTGGGACCAACGCTCAGCCCAGCCTTCTCTGCTCTGTTAAACAGAGTCTGAGCTCTTGTTCATCACTGGCAACATGCCAAATGACAGTCCCTCTGGACAGCAGACTGGCAGTTCCTCAAAAAGCTAAGCATAGAATCACTCCATCCCCGGCAATTCCATCCTAGGTTTATACCCGAAAGAATTGAAAATTCAAACAGGCATTTACGGAGAAGCACTGTTCATAATGGCCAAAAGGTAGAAACAACCCAGGGTCCAGCAAGGGATGAATGAGTCCACTAGTTAAATAGCATGCACCATGCCTAGCCATGGATATCCAATGGAGTATCATTCATCCATAAAAAGGGATAGAATTCTAAAACGTGCTACTATGTGGATGAAGCTCAAAAACATTATGCTAAATGATGGGAGCCAGACACATCATGAGGTCCTAGAGCATACGATTCCATTTATACGGAACATCCAGAGTAGACAAATCCATATGGCCAGAAAGCAGATTAGTGGTTACCATGGCACGTGGGGAGCGGGGCACGGGAGAAACTGCTCCATTGGAAGGAATTTGTCTGATGAATCTGCTATAACAAAATATCACAGAACGTGGCTTAAACTTCAGACATTTATTTTGTTACGGTTCTGGAGGCTGAAGTTCAAGATCAAGGTTGCCAGCAGGGCTGGTGTGAGGCAAGGGCTTTCTCTGAGTCAGTCACCTTCTCGATACAGACACAGCCCATCCTGGCGTGTGCTGGGGCCGGGTGGGGGACCTTCCGAGTTTCCTGGAGTCCCATCTAGGAACACTCGTCTTATGGGATCCGGCCCCCACCCGTTAGCCTCATAGAGCCCTTCACTACTTCCCTAAAGGCCCTGTCCCCAAATAGCAGCCTCATCAGGAATTAGGGCTTAGCAAGTGTGGGGGGGGGGCCCAAATTCTTCCTCTGTGACTGGTGATGAAAATGTCATTGGTCACACAACATAGGGGACATGCCAAACACCAGATTATTCACATTAAGTGGGCTCGTTTTTTGTTCCATGATTTTTATCTCAATGAAAAATAATAATAATGAAGACTCTCGGGAGGTAAGAGTTGAAGGGGTCCCCAGAGGTCCCCTCTCTGTTCTGACCTTCCTGCACAAGTCTCTCTGAAGTCCTCCTACAAGGGAAGTGAAGCCCCCAGAAGGAAGCCATCCTGTTGAGGGATGGTTGTGGTTGTGGGAGAGCTGTGATCTTCAACAAGTCCAAGTCTGCCTTCGTGGCCTGAAATCCTGCAAGGGGACAGAGTTTGCCAAATCAATGTGGCTTTGATTAAGGCCTCCGCATGGGCTGACTGCACAGCCAAACCACCTCCTGGGAATGGTTTTCACCAACCCGGCCAGCCACACGCCACAGGGTGGCCCCGCAGACCACTGCCTCTCCCACAGACTAAGTGGGGTTCATTATTTCCTGGCCCCTCTGCTCCATGCTGAAGGGGACATACAGGCAACGTAGCCCCTGCTGCCTGGAAAGGGACTTTCCTAAGACTCTCCGTGCCCTGCAACCACTGTGCTGCTTCGGAGTCTTCCGGCTTCCACCTCCCGGGCCTGGGCTGCTGCCAAGGACACTGTGTCCTGCCAGCACACCCAGCATATGCTCCTAAACCACATGCCAGGTCTGCGCCGCCATGCTGCACACACATGAGACAAACACACACATACAAGCACTGGCCCATGCGCCTGTACGGGTGCACATCCCCGTCACTGTTGCACCTGGTAACCCCGTGCACACACTGCCCCCAGCAGGCACACGTGTGCACATGTGAACCCCCTCCACACAGTGTGCAAAATGTTTTTATGCGTTTATACACAGATCTGGGTGTTGAACCCAGCCCACCTTGAAAACCCTCCAAGTGCAAAACGAAGCTGAGAAATTGGGTGCCGTCTAGGAAGCTGTGGGGGGTTGGGGCTAGAGAGGCTTGTGCCGCCCGAACGCCGTGTTCAGATTGGCTTTCTGAGGACACGTGCGTGCTGGTGAATAAACAGAATTCAATGTATTCTGCCTTCCGTTTTCCTCTCCTATGCAGAAAGGAAATGGGATCTGGGTCTCTCCTGGTTGACAGTTGTGACAGGATCACATTGCATTTTTGATTTGGCGTGCCTCAAACCATATTTTGGGACAGAACGACGTCTATCTGTTTTCTTAAATGAGAGAATTTCTGAGTGGGTTTTGTTCTAAAATTTCTAATGATTTTAATTTTGATTGACATATTAAAGGTACATGTTAGCAGAGCTCAGGATGATATTTCCACACACTTGGAAGTGGCTCTGAGGGGCTAGGAGTGCCAGGAAGGGGTCGCCCTGCGTGGGGGGTGCATTGGCTCATGATGGGCTCATCTGAATGTTTGGAGTAATGTCCTTCCACTTGCAAATGCCTAGTCTGGAGGTGGGGCCATTGTCCTGGGTGAGAGGACAATGCTTGTTCAATGCTTTGCTTGTTCATTTTCTCCCAGTAGCCCTCAGCTAACATTCTCGGGTCACCATACATGTCCCTGGCCAGTCCCTTACCATGCACTCTGCTGACAGCAAATTTCAGCTCTATAGGAAAAACTCTGGACATCTCCCAGGGCCTTTCTGTGGTTCTCATTTGTACCTCTCACCGGCTGCTCTGTGTCAATCAGCTACTAGGGGCAAAAACCACTCACCTCTCTTTAATCATGGTCCCACTGGTCCTAGGACAGCCTGTGTAAGCCACGTGTCACCTTGGCTTTCACTTTAAAGCTAGAATCCGACTTGAGATCATTCGTGTGTATAGCATGAAGGAAGGGTCAAGGTTCCTTTTGTCCCTGTGGATATACAGCTGTCTCTGCACCATCTGTTCAGTTCATCCAAGGGCTCGGGGTGTGGCTCCGTGTGGTGGCGCACTTGGCTAGCCTGCACATGGCCATGGGTTCCATCCTCAGCACTGAAAGACAGGGGGAAAGTCCATCAGTATGAATCCATTCACAAGGGCACAGCCCTTGTGGCCTGATCAACGTCTCAAAGGTCCCATCTCTAACACTGTCACATGGGGATTAAGTTTGCCTTGCACATTTTGGGGGACACGATGGCTTCTACCCCTCCCTGGCCCTGGACCTCCTGCCCACCTATAGGATCAGATGGGATGCCTAGGCCACCTACGGTGCCGCGCCCGCCACCGCCTATGGCCTTGACCAGCTTCCTGGAGCTCAGGCAAAGACAAATGTCCACAGCTGGAATTGTCTCAGACTCACTCCAGTTCTGCTCTGTGGGGCTCCCCAGGGGACCTTTCTCTGCTGCTCAGACTCTTAGATAAAAATCAGTGTCATTTCCCACAAACAACTCCCTCGACCTGAGCACGTGCTCCCACCACTCTGGACCCTGGCTCAGAGGGATCCTTCTGCTCCGTTGGGTCATTCTTAGCTGCCGCTTGGCTGCTCAGCGGGGAACCCAGAAGTGTCGCAGCGAGCTGTCTTTTAATCGGCTTTTCCCACTCAAGTTGAATGAATTCTCTGGGGGAAGTGGCTTTTTGATAAAATGAAGCCAACTCAACTTTCAGCCTGGATTTACTGACTGGGTTGAAGAGGTCAGGAGGCAGGGGATCATATGGAATGATCAGTGAGGTTGAGGAGTTCCAGATAATGAAAGCTGTCATATCCCTTTGAAAGTCTCTGGGATCTGGAGATTTCATCTATTGGAAGCATCTCTCTGGAGTGGAGAGGGGATTTCACTAAGAGGACTTGGCCATTCTCTTGTAAGCTATGGGCAGCAGTCGGGCACATAACCCAGAAGCTGTGCCAGAGAGCCACACTTCTGAGCATGTGCGGGCAGGGGGTGGGGTGGCCTTCTCCGCATGTGGCTGTACCTACCATGTCCCTAGACCCAAATGGTCCATCTGTGCCTCTCCTGGAAGCCAAGCAGCTACAGAGTTGCTTGTAAGCATTTTTCATAGTACCTTCCATTCCAGAGGAATTTTTCCTTAAAAATGAATCTGTCCACCTTCCTTGAATTACCAGCAGACATTTGTACACCTCACTAGCAATCCAGGGGTGGGGGGGAATGATGGTGATGTCAAGACATTGGGGACTGTAAGCTAGCTCGCCCTGGTTTTGCTGGTTCAATCTGGCCCTCTAGATAGTTTGTGCCTGGCCTCTGCCTCCTCCAGATCCAAAGTTTAGAATGGTGTATACCTTCCCAAGTTGTAAGCTTGAGATCATCTTAGGATGGGCCGAGGCTTCAGACTTGAGGTTGGTACAGCCCTTTCTGGGGTCCCCCAAGTCTAATAATGTCCTACCCATTGCAGCTCCTTGGGAGAAGCTTGGGCCCAGGTGAAGAAGAGTCTGGCAGATGAAGCAGAGGTTCATCTCAAGTTCTCCGCCAAGGTAAGCTCCTCCCTGCAGTTGAGACCTGGGCTGGTCTTACACAGTGGTGCCCTGATACATGCTTAGCAACCATCTCTCCAGTTTGTAGCGTTTGCCTGATTCCTGTGGTGTAAATCTCAAGCTACCACATTTAAGTCGCTGAAGACAGAGTCGGAAAAGGTGCACACTAGAGTAGGACATCATTAAACAATGTTTTCATGATGCAGACAAGTAACATCAATAATCAGCAATCTCCACCCAGGGCTTGGATAATAAATAGTACAACATGAGTAGGAAATAGTAGTTGCTATTTATGACCTTGGTTCTTAAAATAGTGTTAATTATAAGTTCTCATAATTTCATTTGTAATAATGGTTATGTTTCATGGTCAGCTCAAGAAAAACTCCTGAAAAGTTAATGTTCTGTTCTTGGGAGCTACTTGGCGCTCTCTGTACATCTGTGGGAAACAGAGACACCCTCCAGTTTCTAAAGTAGACCCCAGAGTGATGTCACCTGGTCTCTCTTTGCCAGACTTTCAGAGAAATGGATTGGCATGTTCTATCTCTTCTTGGTGTCTGGAAATACTAGAGTGTGCCCAAGGGAGAAAACTATTTGCTTTTATTTGTTGCTGTAAAATTTCAGAATGGATAAATGACCTTCCTTTCATTTGGTTCTAAAGACACTAAACACCAGGACTTATTTTTGAGGACAGGGATGTTTCAGTCCTTCTCACTCCACTTTCAGGGATCAGGATGGTACCTAGCCCACAGTAGGTGCTTCACAAATATTTTCTGAAGTCATGAATACATGGAGCCTTCTGAGAGTCTCTCACCCCATCTTTTCAGATCTGTTTGTCTCAAGATTTCTCAATGACCCTGCCATCTCTACTCCCTGGCTCATACCTCCAACATTCTTCTCTGGCTCTCAGCTACTTTTTAAGTAAAACATAAACTAAGTGTCTCATTGAGATAACTCATACTAAAGTGTGCATGACTGATGGAGATGCCCATTAGCATGCCTGCCTTCTGCCTTCTAAAGATGGGACCTCAAGAGGGGCACTATCCTGGTGACTCTGGCTTCCTTCTGTCATCCCACCATCACCAGTCATATATAGCAGCCCAAGGGGACATTCCAGTAGAGGGCTTGAATTCTGTGAGCCCCACACCCTCAATATTTAAATACTTTCCTCCTTATATGTTGGTGATATTCCTCAAAGACGTGGCTCTTCCTGGGGCTCATGTTCAGCACTCACTGGTCCTCTTAACTTGCTAGCTCTGTTCTCACTTAACAGTTGCAGTTTTCCGCCCTGGGGACTGAATGACGTGTACTCTTGGAGCACAGGAATATGTCCGTATGCCCAGGTCTCCCCGCTGTAACCCATCATGGTCCTCTGCACACAGAATGAATGACTCTAAGGACTAAGACCATAAGAGCTTTGTAGGAAAGCTGGGCTGGGTTGGCAGCATGTTGCTTCCAAAAGGCGTGAGCGCCCCAAGATTGAGCCGACACCTAGCGAGGCGTGCAAGTTCCCAGCTAATGAAAGCAGAGCTCAGGTTAGGTCAAGCACTTCCTGGGAAGATTGCTCCAAGCTGTGGCAGAGAAGGGAGCTCCATGGGTTGGTGTCTTTGGTGTGCTGTATACAAAACAGTGAGTTTTTTAAGCGGCAGCTCCGACCCCCAAGGTCTCCTTTCTCCTGTCTTGGCCCCTGACCTCCACTGACCGGTGAGATGAATGCTGGGGTGGGGATTGGGGCTGCCACTCTCCTGGCTTGGGGGTGGGGCCAGGAGCCAGGGCTGTGCATGACTGGGAGCTTCAGTTTGCTGGATCCCCAGGGTACTGGATATAATCCATCCCTCTCCGTCTTATCAACTACCATGCAAAAGAGCCTCACCACCTCACAACTGAGCAGAGCAGACAGGACTCAGCCCATGGTCACGCCTCCAAGTGGATCTAACTACTAACGTGGGAGCAAATGGGAAACTAAATCCCCATTTTTGCTTTGAGACACGCTCTCTCTTCAGTAGGGGAGTGGCTTTTAAACAAGACCTTGGGGCTGGAGTGTGGCTCCATGGCAGAGCTTATGTCCAGCAGCTGGGGAAGGCCCTGGGTTCCTCAAGGAGCCCTCTATCCTCCCCCAGGAGTGCCAGCAACGAGGTGAGAACCATCCCTCCAAACGCTCAGAACATTTTAAGTTGGTTTTCATGAAGCAACACAAATGTCACCATCCAGCTGACCACAGCAATATGACGAATGTTCTGCACAAAACAGACTTTGCCACGAGAGCTTCTGCTACTTCTAGCCCGTCCATCCATTCCGTGTTGGTGGCCTTGGAGCATCAAAGTAGCCTCCTAGTGGTCTCACGGCAATTTCTTGAGAAAGAGGATCCAAGGATTTGTGTGTCTGCCACGGATAATGTGGCTTCCTATGCGTAAAACCCATTTTCACGTCTGCTCTAAAAGGCGCCTGGAAATTTTGCTCTGAATGGTCTGTGTCGGGGGTAAAAGCTCTTTAAAAAATGCAATTTTGTCAGAGCAATCTTTCCGGCTTCTCTGTCAACCACCTCAGACCATTGCTAATAGCAACAGGTCGCTGAAGAATCGGTATTGCCACTGGCTCCTGTAGAACAAGGGAGAAAAGAGAAATTCCTTTTGATGGGAGAAAATCTAATCATGCAGGAGAAGCCTTGCACTCGGCAGCAGATTTCTGGGGACAAGGGAAGCAGGATAATGAGTTTTAGCTCAGAGCTGTCCCTAACAAGCTTTGTGACGTCGGTCAAGTCACTCAGCATCCCTGGGATTTCTTTTCTTCCTGTGCAAAATGAAGAATTTGAGTCAGATCAGCCACTGTGACCCCCAGGAATGCCCTTCACCTGGTTACTGGGTACTCACAGGTCCACATGCAGGTACCCACTCCCATGTCCATTCAGATAGCCACACATGCATGTGGCCAAGATGAATGTTTCCCAGGACTATTAAACCCTTCTACCTATTCTCTTCAATTGTACGAGGTGAAAAGAAGTATCAAAGTCAGCCGAGCTTTGGAGAGGGGAGGAATCTCCTCTGGTGGCCTAGCCCATCCCATAGAGGAGAGGCTAACCCAGGAACTTTCAGGAAAAGCTAAATATGAGTATTAAAAGATACCAAGCCATCTTGTTTAAAGAAAATAAATTATGTCTTTAAAAAGAACTTAGGGGTCTGGGGATGTGTCTCAAGCTGTAGCGCGCTCTCCTGGCCCAGGTTCGATCCTCAGCACCACATACAAACAAAGATGTTGTGTCGGCCGAGAACTGAAAAATAAATATTAAAAAAATAAAAAGAACTTAGTATAGATAGAGAGTTGGAGAATCCATGGGTCCTCACTTGCACAGTTGAATCACTTCAGACAACTAGTAGCTTTATTTCCTGTTTGTTGTTTGGAGTTTGGGGAAAGACTTGGATGCCCTTCCCCAGACCACACAACCTGGGGCTGGACCCATGAGTCTTCAATGTTAAGGAGCTCCTTCAGGTCACTCCCAGGCACAGGAAAGTCTTGCAGTCACTTGTTTTTCCAAGTCCTCAGAAAGACACCCCAGAGTTTTTGAGTCTACCCTCAGAGACCCCAGTCAGCTGGTTCCATGGCAACTGAGTTATGGACCGTCTCCTACTCAGCAAATGCCTGATCTGTGTATGTGATTGTCTCCCTCTGTTTTCTTTGTCTATAACTAAATACCAGAGACTGAGTACATTATGAAGAACAGAGATTTATTTTGATCAAAGTTCTGGAGGCTGAGAAGCCCAAGATCCAGAGGGCTTTCCTGCTGTGTTGTAACAGTAGAGGGCATCATCCCACAGCAAGACAGAGCAAGCACATGTCCTTTCAGATCTGTCCTTATAAAGCCACCAGGGCCATCCTGACGATCTCACTCATGACCTCATGTATTCCTAAGTACCTCCCAGAAGCCCCCTCCAGATACCATCTTGTGAATTGGAGGATTAAGTTTCCATCATCTGGAATTTGGGGAACACTTTTAAACCAGGGCACTAGGGGAAGAGATTTGTTTCTTCTCATGGGTTCTCAAGTTTGTAGCCTCCTAATAAAATTGCCACCGGGTGGTGATGTTCTCCTGGATGAGGAAAGTTTCAGGGGCTCAAAAGAATAAATAATAGGAGACACAATCGGTATCAGGAGGCACATGGCACCTGGGTGGCTGGCTCTCTGTTAGTCTTGGAAGGTCATCCAACAGCAAGACTGTCTGCTCACCACCTAGGCTGTCCCTGGCTCTACCAGGGCAGGGCTACCTTGATCGATCTGTTTTCTCATAAATTTCATGCTTGCAACCAAACTTAAGTCAAACGCTCTGAAGATATTCTCAAAAAGGATGGGGTGTAATGTGAAAGAGGGAAGGAAAAAAAGAGAAAAAAAGCTTAAAAACTTGATGCTACCTAAGTCATCACAAAGCAGAAAAAGTGGTTCCCTTTCTTAGGAATAGGAGGGGTGGTCTCCTTCCAGCCCTGTGAATTGAGAACAAAACCCTGTGGATACAGTCAGGACAGTCACCCCTGTGAATCACCAGCAGACCTTCAGCAGCTCCCGTTGTGAATTCCTCGAGGTTTGGACCACGTCCAGATCACCTTTATATTCCAGGCACACAGCACCTAGCAGGTGTTCAATGAATAGAAAAGATCTAAGATCGCCTAATTGAACGGCACCCCTCACAGTTATTTATTGAGCTGCCTAGCAGTCACTGTGCTAAGTTTTGGGGGACACAAATGGATGACATGGTTTCTGTCCCCAGAAAGCTCCCAGTTTGGAAAGGGACACCCAAGCAAAGCTGTACCAGAGGCTGTGGTACACAAGCAAGCGTGGGACACGGTGCACGTGTGAATTAACTAAGCTACGTCACCGTGTATACTTAGAGTCGAGAAGTTTCTGTCTGTAATGGTGGTGTCCCAGAGGTTGTTACTGTGATGTCATAGCCGTCTTAGTGTAAGTGTACTGTGTGATGGTGAAGGAACAACAGAATCTAACAACGCATCTCAGAGTCTGTCCCCGTCCTTAAGTGACACACCACTTACATACCTATGACATATTTCAAAACCTGTTGTGCATGATCAGTATACACAGTAAAAAAGTAACTTGGAATGAAAAGTTTTTTAAAAAGTAAAGATGTGAAATCTTGGAGGAGGAGGAAGTAGTTAGTTAGTGGGAGAATCTGAAGTTTCCTGTCACCCACTCAGAGCTACACTTGCTGCACCTGGTGAACCGCCACTCACCTCTAGCCTTCCAGTCCCCCCAGGCTGTTGCCCCAGCCCCACTCGTCACCTGCTGGGGAAAGAGGAAGAACGGTCCCCACCAACTGCAGCTAATGCCCTGGGTCCTGAGTGTCCTCTCCACCCTCCTCCACAGCTTCACAGCGAGGTAGAGAAGCCCTTAATGAACTTTCGTGAGAACTTCAAGAAAGACATGAAAAAGTGTGACCACCATATCGCTGACCTCCGCAAGCAGCTCGCCAGCCGCTACGCGTCGGTGGAGAAGGTGAGAAGCCAGGACGCTGGGGTGGGAGTCGGGGGAAGGCAGGGGCTGCTAGAACAGGGTGGGCCAGGAAACCAGCTGTGACTCTGGGTGCCACAACAGGGGCCCTTGTCCCCAGATGAGGGGGGAGGGGAATCCGAGCCTCATGGCCCACCCGCGAACCCCACCCATCCAGAGGGCAGGCAGGAGACACTTCCCTGTGGACCTCAGATGACTGCTCCAAGAGTTAATGGGACACCAAGCCTGATGTGCTGCTATGTGTGGTCCCCGTGTCTGGGACCCTCCTGCAGATTTTCTCCTGGTTGATCATCTGCTTCTAAAGGTCCCATAGCTCATCTTTCTACAGTTAGTCACATCTTGGGCAGGACTGCTGGTGGCAGCCCTGGACTAAGCCCAGGCCCTGGAGAGCAGGCACCCAACACCCAGCCAGCTGTCTCCACTGACAGGCAGAGAGTGAGCCACCACATGGAACCAGGAGGAGGGTGGGCAGGTGCTATGAGGGGCACAGGGGGCTCAAGGCTCTGGAATGCCATGCCTGGTGCCACCAGCAGGAATGAGGGGAGCTGGTCTGTGGGCTCCGCCGCCGCTAGTTAGCTGGGTAGCAGCACTGGGACTGTCTGGTCCCGTGGGGCCACTGTGGCATCATCCATGCAAACAGAAAATGAAGGACTTGAGCTGAGAAAGGGGTAGCTGGGCCACATGGCTCTGAGCCCCGCCACCCCCAGGCTGCAAGCTTCATAACAGCTTCTCTGTTTGATGTCATTGGACCCCAGGCCCGGAAAGCCCTCACTGAGCGGCAGAGAGACCTGGAGATGAAGACCCAGCAGCTGGAGATCAAGCTGAGCAACAAGACAGAGGAGGACATCAAGAAGGCACGGAGAAAGTCCACACAGGCTGGTGAGCCCCTGGGCGGCCCACCCGGGCTGGTCACACTAACTAGCACACAGGAGGGGGCATGCCCAGCACCTCTACCCAGCATCCAGGGATTGGAGGGAAGCAGGCCAGGCTGTTCCCAAGCCATGGGGGGGGGGGGGGCGCTGGAGGACTCATGGTCTCCCCAGCAATGCCTTTTTCTGACCTAAGGTCTGCATTTCTGACCAGGAAGTAGATAAATTCTTCCTTGTGCCAAGAGCTCAGGGCTCAGTCCCTGATTAAAACCCACAGAAGTTCAGATCTTTATTCACCCATATAAGCTGCACCTTCTCCCCAGGGAGTGCTACTCTGAGGGCTGAGGTATAGCAGTGGCCCCTGCTTGCATTTTGTTTAAATAACCACCAGATTTCAGGCTCTACCCCTTCCCCCAGTGTGCTGGTGTCTGCTGCCACCTAGTGGTCAAGGTTAGCCAGTACACAAGGAGGAAGGGAAAGGATGATTAGAAAATGTTTAAAAACTCAATAGCTGTTTCTAAAAGAAATCAAGTTTCATAACAGGCAAGGGCAATGCATATTGCCTCTGGAATTAATCTGTGTGCTGTGAAATTATGGCCTGAATGATCTTTAGGTCCCTTTCATCTCAATTTCTGGTGAAGCTGTTACAATTGATTTCATTATGAAATGAAGCAACCACCTTCCGGACATTTTGTAATAAAGTAGGGCAGAAATAACTGGAGCCAAAACTAATGTGGCATAAACATAATATTTAATATACAGATTCTTATAATGCATCACAGTAAATTACTAGAACCAGAAGCATTATTATAAATTTCTAATATATTTATTGGGAATGGAGCCCAGAGAGGAAAAAGTTGTACATAAATTAGTTTAATTTATCAAAAATTAAATTAAATAAAATTAAAAATAATCAGCATATGAGAGTATAAAATGTTAGTTGCCAAAAATAACCACCATCAATACTTCAGAGTGCTTTCACTTTTTAAATATTCAACTGTATATAAATTGGATCGTATTATACTCTGTATTCTGAACTGAAGTTAATACATCTTAGAAGTAGCCCATTTCATTTCCTCTAAATCTATTTATGCATCCATCTATGCATTTCAGATTTTTAAACAATTGCCCAATGTCTGACTATATCATTGTATCCAAATTGATTTCATCATTCCCCTAATTGATTTTTTTTGTTTATTTATTTATTTTATATATATATATATATATATATATGACAGCAGAATTTATTACAATTCATATTACACATATAGAGCACATTTTTTCATATCTCTGGTTGTATATAAAGTGTATTCACTCCAACTCGAGTCTTCATACATGTACTTTGGATAATGATGTTCATCACATTCCACCATCATTTCTAACCCCCTACCCCCTACTTTCCCCTCCCACCCCTCTGCCCTATCTAGAGTTTGTCTATTCCTCCCATGCTCCCCCTCCCTACCCCACTATGAGTCACCCCTCTTATATCAGAGAAACATTCAGCATTTTGCGGGGGGGTGGATTGGCTAACTTCACTTAGCATTATCTTCTCCAGTGCCATCCATCTACCTGCAAATGCCATGATTTTATTCTCTTTTATTGCTGAGTAATAGTCCATTGTGTATATATGCCACATTCTTTTTATGCATTCATCTATTGAAGGGCATCTAGGTTGGTTCCACAGTTTAGCTGTTGTGAATTGTGATGCTATAAACATGGATGTGGCTGTGACTCTGTAGTATGCTGTTTTTAAGTCCTTTGGGTATAGACCCAGGAGAGGGCCCTAATTGATTTTTTAGGACTTTTAGATTGTTTCAGAGTGTTTACCAAGCCAGCAATGCTTATCAGAACTGTAAATTTGTTTATGTGTAAGACCAGATCTGCATATAGAGAGAATTTTGATGTTGGGTTGAAGGTTTTTCTTCATTTCAATGAATATTTCCAAATTGCTGACCAGAGAAGGTACTCACCTATAGTATCTCTGAGTACCTATTCCCTAAACCTTTGAGTATTGTATGCTTTGAAATCATTGGTGTGCCGCTGAAAAATGTTTTGCTTATTTTGCTTTTCTCTGATCAGGGTTGAACATTTAAAACATACAAATTATTTCTGACTTACTTTTCTGTGAACCAATTAACTTGTCTCCTCCTTTCTTTTTGAGGTCTTGTTCTTACTACTGATAAGAATTCTCTATAGAAATTAACCCTTTGAATCACAAATATTTGCCCTGGATTCTATTTTTATTTTTTCTTTCTTTCTTTTCTTTTTTTTTTTTTTTTTTTTTTGTCATTTTTTAAAAAAGTTTGTTTGCCTGGCTTTTTGTTGCTATTTTTGTATATAACATCTTTTCCCTGTGGCATTTAGATTGGGGGGGGGGGGGAATCACCTTCAACCTTCCCAAGATTCTATTTTAATCACCCAAGTTTTCTTGTTCTTATGTGGGGAGAGAGTGTTGAGGTATTTATTTTTGATTTTATTTTTAACAGTGAAATATTCAACCCACCAGACATTTCTTTTTTTCTCTGCCCAGGTCCCTAACCACACCCCACAGCGTCTAATTTGTGTCTTCATTTCTGTTCTTCTCAAGTTATTTCACTATTGAGGGGTTAATTTCATCTTTGAGCCAACAGTTGTCTCAAAGAAAATCTTTACATTTTTCAAGAGCAAGGTCTTTGTTACCCTTATTGCAAACATCTTGATTTACCTATCCTTTATTTCTTTGTTACCCTTATTCTGATTCTTGCAACTACATTGCATTTCCATCAGATGATACAGAATCTTATTTCTGTAGCTTGAAATTATTCTGGGGGTGGGAACGAGGTAGCACAGTGATAAAGGGCATGTGCCCTGTGTAGGATCCCCAGCACTGCAGAGAGAGAGAGAGAACTACCTTTATTGAATAGTTACTGTGTCTGGCCTCAGGCTACGTTCTGGAAGGTGATGTCACAGTCTCTGTAAGGAGGTATTTTGTGAATGAGAAAACCAATGGGAGCAAGGATGAGCTAGGTGACCGAGGTGGCATTGCAACATCAGAATTCAGTCTTCTCTTATTCCAAAGGCTCTGCTCCTTGCCATTTTGCTAGACAGCCTGCTACTCAGAAATTGCTGCCACACCTTTTTTGCTCCTTTTCCCTTTCCTCCTCTCCCTCATGTTTTGCAAGGCTGCTCGAGGGAGGGCATCCAGATCCTCCTGGGGGCTAAATTTGAATTCTTTATCACCATCGTGGCCACCATAGCTGACGTTAATACTTTGCTATCTTTGCGAATCTCTATTCTCAAAGCATGTATTTGCATAGTTAATACTTTGCATGTATTGGCATAGTTAATGAAGGTACAACTGATATACCCATTTTATAGATGTCTTCATCTTCATTTCTGCTGGGGCACAGGCAGGCTAGTTGACATGTCCAAGGTCACACAGCTAACCCATAGTGAAGCTAGGCTGACATCACAGGCATTCTGATTCCAGAATCCATGTTCTCCACTGGCATTATTCAGAAGGGTCCAATTTCCAGTCCTGCAATGATTAGGAAACTGCATATTAGGAAACTGATTGCAACTACATTGCATTTCCATCAGATGAAATGCAGATGTGTGCCAGAGCACTTGCTCCTGCAACTATAATTTGTGCAAGCATCACCGTAGGGTCTGCTGAAAATGCAATTTTTGGCCCCATTGATCTTGGACACCTCCTGGGATTCTGCATTTCCCACCAGCTCCCCGGGGAGAAGGTTACAGATCTGCTGGTCCGTGAACTTTGTTTTACATGGCAAGGTGCCAGGGTGCTAGTACACTGAGTAATGTTTGCAATTACTTCATAGGTTGCTCTTATTCTAAATATAAAATGTTTTAAACATGCATATGGTTAGAGAAAGTGATACACTAGCCATCAAGATTTAATAGTTATATTTGTTCACATCTCTCTGTTATGAAAGAAAATGCTACAGAAGGAGCTCATTCCCTACTGCTCAGCCTATCTCCCCAGGTGGCTACTCTTCTGAAGTTTGTGTGTAGCACTGTGATGCATGTTTTGGTGTTTTTGGTTTTTTGGTTTGGTTTGTGTTTTGCGGTGCTGGGGATCAAACCCAGGGCCTTAGACATAGTAGGCAAGTGCTCTGCCATTGAACTACACGGGGAAGGCAGTGCATTGCGGTGGGATTGTGTGTGGGATAGTGTGTGACAGAGCATGACAGAGGCCACTGGCTCTTCCAGGTGATGACCTCATGCGTTGTGTGGACCTCTACAACCAGGCGCAGTCCAAGTGGTTTGAAGAGATGGTGACCACCACTTTGGTATGTGATCAGAGACACTTGAGCATGCCAGTGACAGGGACTGGCGCTCAGGGAGCCCTGGGTGGGTGGTGGGAGACACAGGGTGGGCACGGAGTGGAAGTGACCATAAAGTGGTCACTATTCCAGGGTTGGGAATCAGAACTCAATCTGGACTTGTCTGTGCATTCAGATCCCTAGTGTCTCCTGTTGTATGAAATCAGCCAAAGGCTGGTTGTTGCTGTCACCTCCTTGGGCTGTCTACTGAGGGCTTAGGATCAACCAGAAACCTCCCTAATTGAGCAGAGAGTGGCCCTGTTAGTAGAGAGAGACAACTCCCCCACTCCCATCCCACCCACTCACTGGAGATCCTTAGAAGGCATGTGAACGGGTGTTGTAGGAGGAGCCATGCAGGGAGAAGGGGGTACTCTGACCAAGGCGGCGCTGAGGATCGAACCCAGTACCTCACACGTGCTAGGCGAGCACTCTGCCTCTGAGCACAGACTCAGCCCCTGAGTATTTCTTATAAAGGGGCAGCATCTCCGTGTTGGTCAGGACCTGCTGGAGTGAAACAGTGAAGTGTGGCTGGTACTTTGGCCAGAGGGGAGAAGAGACATCATGGCAGCTACTCATCCCTTCATCCTACTGCCCAAAGCCACCTGCCGTCCCTCCTACAGCTCTGACCGGCTGGCTTCCCCAGGTGTCAGCCCACCAGGGCAGATTAAAGGCCTCTCTACCAGTGACCTGTTTTACCCCCTTGTTAATCTCCTAATTAAGTCCCCTGCTTTATCCCCCTTCCCGATTAATCACCTGGACCGTGACCTAGTTACATATAGAGTAACAGTCTGATCCCCTAAATTCCAGAGACACAGAACCATCTAGACACTGAAGGACAAGCCTTTTCCACTCTTCCTTTGATGATGGCTGCTCCACTCCTGCCCCTGCATCTGGTCCCTGTTCTGCCCCGTCAGGGTGCTAGGGCTGGGGCTGGGCTTGTAGAATCGGGAGAACACGGTTTAAATCCTGCTCTTCCTATGGTTCTGTATCTCCTGGGGCATGCGGTATTCCCTCTCTAGGTGTCAGTTCCCTTGCTCAGAAATCTCGCAGAATCTTAAAATGGTATCGAGAACAGTTACATACTGCATGGAAAGCTTTTTGAACCTTGCTTTTAGGGTAAGCTAGTAGCTGCTCTCATAACCTTCACCTTCACCCTAGAGATGGGCACCCTCCTTATTGGAGCCCAGAAAGTCAAGTGGCGTTGGGGTTCAGCAGCCAGTGACTCGTGCATTGGGGTACATGGTGCCTTGGAACCTGCTTGGTGGGAAGGTCCGAAAGTTAGGGGATATTCTCAGAGGTCTCTGGTCTTGTTTTCCTCTGCAGGAGCTGGAGCGGCTGGAGGTGGAGAGGGTGGAGATGATCCGGCAACATCTGTGTCAGTACACACAGCTGCGGCATGAGACAGACATGTTCAACCAAAGCGTGAGTTCCCCACCCTGGGGCAGAGACTGACGAGACCCCTGGGGGTCAGGGGGACAGCCACGGCAGGTTAAGTGGCTGCTGCAAATGAATCATTTCTGAAGCAGACAGTGGGCAGCTGTCCCTGCTTCTGAGTCACGTCTTGGGGTAGATTTATCAGGATTCCTGGATGTCCATGTGATGATCCATCCTGTGCACATGAAGTATGCACAGGTGAGCTGTTTACCCGAAGAGAGAGAAGCTCACCATATTTAAAATAGCTAAAGATATCATTGCCTTCCTGGGCAAATTTCTTAACCAAAATGAGACGAAAATACAACTTCTAGAAATAAAGTACCTAATGCTAAAGTTGCATTTGTTCTATTCTCTGGTGGTGGGTATGGAGACGAATGGAGGAAAAGGTCACAGGCTACTGAGCCTCCAAGGCGTGCTGCCCTCTCAGCCAGGCCTGGGCTCTGCAGGATACATGGTCAGGACCAGTTCCAGGTGCTGGCTCTCATAACCCTCTGCACACTGTGACCCTCAGATAGGTTTCCCGTGGGGCCCTAGAGCATTCTAAAGACACTGCTCTGAACAGAGCTTGGGCAAGAGCAGCAGGGTGCAGAGGAAACATCCCCAGCTTGGCCCTCACCTTTGACAGTGTCCCCTCTCTCTCTGTCCCTTGCAGACAGTCGAGCCTGTGGACCAACTGCTTCGAAAAGTGGACCCGGCCAAAGACAGAGAGCTGTGGGTCAGAGAGCACAAAACGGGCAACATTCGCCCCGTGGACATGGAGATCTAGACACGCCTGTGCGGCCCCGGGGGTCCTGCCCCAGGAGAGGGGCTGGGGGTCCCGTGGAGAGGGAGTGGTGGCTCCCGCTGGGTGAAGCTGCCCTCCCACCCACTCTCCTGTCCACTGAGGAGAGAGGAGAGAGCTGGCAATTCCAGAAGGGTGATCTGGGTGGCTCAGCTGGGGAATCCCAAATATTCCCAGGCCAAGAAGACAGACCCCGCCCTTGTCTCCAAGACTGAAGCCCCCCCAAACCCCGTGCCGTGCTTGTTGCTCTGAGAACAAACTGAGGCTGGAACTTTGTGGTCCCTGCTGAGTTCCATAGGGGTGGCCGTCACATACTTTTGCCCTTGGATGCCCCAAAGCCCATCCTTCACCTGGTCCCTTTATCTCCGGGGCTTTGGAAGATCAGGGAAGGGCTGTCTCTGCCTCCAAGCCAATGTCAGGATCAGAATCATGGATAGAAGGCGCCGTCAGCTCAGCCTGCACCTAGACTCCTTTATGGCCCTCTCTATTTTTCTCATTGCATTCTGGGAGCCCAAATCTGGCTTTTCTTGGCCACTTTTCATCCCCGTGGGTCTTGGGAAGGCCTGTTTTCTGCCTTCCCTGACCAACCCTGCCCAGAGAGGTCAGGATGGAACTACCTCATTCGGCAAATTAGCCCCAAGTCGGAGCATTGAATCACGGTTCCCATCAGATCAGGCATCATCTCTGAAGTCTCTGGAAATCCCCACCCCCACCCTGCCACCCCTGCCCAAAGTTCTCTGCCAGGGAGACCTCCTTCAGCTGTGTGCATGTCCAAAAGCTTTGAGAGATGGAGATGAGCCAGAAACCACATGGGGTCTGTCTCCCATCGTGTCCTGTCCAACACGGGGCTACCCTGACCCCCACTCTCCCAGGCTGCCCACCAAGGGCTTAATAGGGCTAGGTCAGTCCCACATGGGAGACAGGTTAGGGCAAGTCTTTGTCAAGACTCCATCTGCTTATGCAAGATAGGGTTTGGACTGCTGTATGAGCATTGCAGACTCTCTCTCCTTGCTATCCAGGTGTGTCCTGCCACCTGGACCTCCAGCTCCTCCGAACTTTCCAGAGCCCTGCACCAAGCCCTCGCTTGGTGCCAGCACCTCCTTTCCCTCTGTCCATCTTCCCTGGAGAAGCCTGAGCCAAGCGTGACTTGGGAAGCTTTTCAGCACTACCCCTGGGTTCAGCCCGCCACTTTCTTTCTCGACTACAGCAAACACCATCTCTCCCCCATCTTAGCCTAGAGAATCAGCCTGAGGGGGCTGGGAGAAAATATTGACCCAGTGAGCAAGGAACAGCTTCTAGCCAGAAACCCCTGCTCTGAGAGGCCACCTTTCTTCATCTTTTCCCTTGATGGCTTTCGGCTTGACCCTTCCATCTCCCATAGGGGCAGAATTCTATGAGCCCAATTCACGGATCTTTCCCTCCATTTTACATTGCTAATAATGGATGTTAATCTTGAATCTTTCAGCATCTCTTCCATTGAATTAGAATGGCTTTCTCATAGTTTATTTTAGAAAGATGTTCAATATACTAAAGCAAACCAGATCTTGTCACTTTTTTTTTTTTTTTTTTTACTAAAACATCCCAAGCACAAAAGCCAACGTGAAGGTGTTCACAAGCATGGAGGGGGCGGGATCTGTCCAGCATAGGATGGAAAACCACTCCTTTTGCATCCGGGCTTGAACCATGACACCAGCTACCAATTTTAGGATATTTCTTGGCTTCTCACTCTAAAAAATGGGTGCTAGTGGTAATTGCTTTGTGGCTTAGTAAACTATAGATGATTTTCAAACATCAAAGCCAACAGCCTGATAATTAACAGATCTTTTGGGTGCAATGTGGTTCCTGGGCTTTGTCCTCTTATTCTCTCATTTGAGGGTCCCCAAGTCCTCTGTTTGTTCCTGATGTGGAATGAGCTCTCTGCTCCTTCAGGGTAACGCGAGTTGGCCAAGCCTGGGCCAGTCCATTTTCTGAGGTCATCCTTTCCCCTTGTCCCCTGGCCACCTCCTCTTAAGCCTCTTCACATACACCTCTTGTGCCCTCGGATGTTCATTCATCAAACATTTAGTAAAAGCCAAGCAATGTGCGGAGGTCTGAAGACAAAATGCTGCTCAGTCATCAGGGAAGCCCTTGAATCTGTTTTATATAGGTTTATCTTTTCCCTAGGGGCCTGGCCTTCAGTAACCTTGACATTCACATAGAAGTACTCTGAAACAGTACCTCTGTTTCAGAGGTACTGTCTTGGTTGGGCTGACATTCACTCGGTTTTTTTAGCAAATGCTTAGAACAAGCCCAACATTGTGCCGAGGAATGAAACAAATTGTGTGGAAGGGTGGACACTATCACTTCTCTGTGTAGACAGGCAGATGTTTAGACCTATCTGGAGAGGAAGAACATGGCACTTGGGTGGACAGCAACACTATCTTGATCACCTGGTCGCCAGACCCTCATAGCCCATTTGTTTTATTGGTTTTTAGTGACTCATTGCTCTGCAAATAGAGAAAGTGAAGGCCAGGGACACCATGACCTGACAGAATTACGAACAGGGCTGGAGCTGAGTCCAGGCCCAATGTCCCAATTAAAAAGGGACCTCTCCCCCTGCACTGCGAGTAAAATCAGGATCAGGATGAAGTCTAGAAAATCTAAAAGTGCATTTGGAGTCACAAGCACACCATCTGGGTTGTCTTTGTTTTGTGGTGGGGGGATCAGCACCCAGGGCCTCCCACGTGCTGGGTGAGCACTCTGCCATTGAGCCACATCCCTGTCCCTGTGGTCTTACTTGGACATAAGTCTCGGTACTTAAGGTCGTGGGAGGATTTGGCTGCTTTATTCGGAGTGGGTTTCTGAGAACAGATCAGTCCCGTCCCCTCCCTGCCACCACTGGGGGATTGAGGCACTTAAGTTTGCTCTGAAATCCTGATTTAAAAGAAAAAATATATTTCTAAAATGAATAGGTATTCAAAGTGAATCCGTTGCCATGACAACCTCCAGGAAGAGCCACTTGTTCCCCTTCATTTTTTTTTTCCCTAGTGCTTTTGAGCAGTTCTGCAATGCACAGGCTATTTGGACCAGGTGGAGGGTGGCCCCAGGCTCTGTCAATGGAACTACCCTGTGCCTCCTCTCAGTGTCACTTGTCAGGGCTGATTAATGACTGAGGCAGACAGACCCTGTACAAATTCATGGCCAGGATTTTGTTTTTATTCCCTTTGGGGGGGAAAAACACAGTCAAATTACTAGATCAGTGGATGGGTGCATAAAGATCTTGGCTGAGCCAAAGTCCCTTCTTGGAAATATAAGCCATAAAATTCAAAGGTTGTCAAAGACCTTCACACCTTCACTTCTTTAGGTGATTTTATTTCCAGCTGTGAAGTAGCCTTGGCAAGGAGAATTTGGCACAGGAATCGAAAGACCTGCTTGTTATTACGTAGGTAGGGGACAGCACTTCCCATGTCCAGTGGGGACCAGATCAGCGGACAACTGGCTGAGCCTGCTACCACTGAATGCCCATAGTCCTTCCCACTTCCACCAAAGCTCGGTGCCACCTCCTGTTTCCAGGAAAATTGAGCTATAATTGACAGAGCAAAATTCACTTTTTTTCTTTAAAGTATACAGTTCTGAGAATTTTTTGACCAAATAACAGTCTTGTACCCAGCGCCCGCAATCAACATAACATTAGCTTCACTCCTGAAAGTACTGCATATCCCATTGGGGTCCACTCCTTCCTCCCACCCCTGATCCAACAAACCCTGATGGATGTTCAGACCCTATTATTTTGCCGTTTTCTGAAAGGAAGTAGGATCACATGGAATCGCCCATGTGTGCGTGTGTCTCAGGAGCGTGTCCCTTTTCTTTGCCGAGTGATTACCCCTACCCAGGTATCCCACACTGCTTCCTTGTTCATAAAGTGAGTCATTTACCCTGGAAGTTCGTGGTCCAAGAGCTTCACCTTGTTTGGATCACTGCTTCCCAGGGCTCCCAAGTCTCCTCCAATGTCGGCTCCACCCATGAGTTACCCACTCACTGACCTTTCTGGTTCTACCAGTGATATTTGATTTCTACCAGTGCAGGAAGCAGCCAGGAATTGGAGGGGAAGTGGCAGGCAGGGTCAGTCAGAATCGCCTCCCACCTCTGCTGCATCTCAGATGAAAGATGTGCTCCCTCTTGGTACCCTAGCTTCAGTTCCATGGGTTCCTGCATTTATTGAACATTGAGGCCTCGAGAGGCAAGTGGAAAGAACAGAGCTGAAAGGCCAGGACTGGCCCCAGGGCACATCAGGACCTTTCCCTGGATCTGTTGTCCCACCTGCCAGTGAGCATACTTGTTTTCGATGATCTCTCAGCCTCCAGCTACTGTGTACCCTCCCCTTCCCTTCTTGTTTCTTGTTCCATGCCCTGTAAACATGATCATGCCGAATCCCAATGTCACCTGCACAGTTGTGCAGAGAGCTGCCTAAACTCCTCACAAGGGGACACTTCCCCATTTAGACTCCAGTGCAGCGAAGAGTTTCATGAGCTAAGAACAGAGTGGTTCCTCCTAGGACTAACCTGCACCCCCCAGAGAAAGTATTAAGTGGCTACCTTCAGGGTCTGTCCCTAGGAGCCAAGACAGGCATGGAAGACAGAGCCACCTCTGTCAAGTCCTTGCTGTTGCTGACGTCTTTCCCAGCTGGTGGTCATATTGAGCCTGCCCTGTGCCTTTGTCCCGATAGGCGGTGGCAGAGATAGGACCAGGCGTGGCCATGGCCAGGCGGTTGGTGACCACACCTCTAAGCAAAGCCTTGGTCATGGGCTGCTCAGTGAAAGGTGAGCCCTAGAGGGCAACTGGGAACCTCTCCATCTGAATTGGGGACAGTGTTGGATTCAGGCCAGACGAAGGTCAGGGCTGAGAAGCCAGAACTCAGGGTCCCAAAGTGGGAGCCAAGGCTGCTGAGACCCTCCAGGGTTGGGTTCTGCCTGGAAGGACTCTCCATACCTTCCGCCCAGGAGCTGTGGCTTTCCTGAAGGTGAGGGGCCCACTCCTGGTGCTGCAGGTCAAGGTGGGTCTAGGAGAGGACAAAGACCAATGGAGGCTGGGCATGGCTCTGGAGGACCTGGATCAGACAAGTGTCTTGGGGTGGGGGTGAAGACCTTTGGACTCCCTTGGTGGTGCTTGGGGACATTCGTACATGATAAAACATACAATTCCTGTATGTTTTTCAGGGGGATTTCTAGTGGATTGCATTGGTAGAAGGTAAATGGTCAGGACCAATAGGCTCTCTCATGGGGACAGTATGACACGGGGACAGAGAACGAAAGCTTACAGTACTAGAGGAAGAGTCAGGGCTAGCCCTGCCCTGCCACCTCCTTTATCCTGAAGCCTATTCACACCCCGCATCTGGACCTCTGTGTACTCATTTGTCAATGGGGCGCTTCTGTCCCTGCGAGAGGGGCGCTCTGGAGTAGCGGATCTCACTCAGCCACGGGGGGCCCAGAGACGGACATTCCAAGGGTCTCCAGCCATCCTGGGAGATGGTCCCCAAATTTGCAACTCTTTCCCCTCCCTTAGGAAGGCGATGACGGGAGGCACGCCCTTCACAGACACGAGCACATCAGCAAACCCTGCGAAAGCGGAATTTTCTAACAAAATATGCTTGTTTGGTCTGTTTTCTGTAACTTTTGCTAAATACTTTATATACATTTTTTGATGTTAAAAAGCTGTGTCTCCTGCCAGCATTCCTTACCCACCCCCACCCCCACCCCTGTATGAATGTGTTTACTTCCCATTGTATATCCTTCCATCCTCTGGCTGCCTAGATCAGTAAATAAAATTGATGTAATATAATTTATAAGTAACACTGTTGACACTCTGATCCCGATGGAGGCTGTAACGCGCCCCTCTCCAGCCCCTCCCCACCCCCCCCATAATAGCATTTGTGTGTATTAAAGCTGAAGAATTAAATGTTTAAATTTAAAGTTTAAATTTCGAACGTGTTTGCTATATATAATCGCCCTGCGTTATTATAAAGCCTTTTCAGGAAGTTCAATACCATCTCATTTCCACCGCCCCCCACCCCTTCAGTTCTGGGTGTACACTTGAGATGCTTAGATTCATCCCATGTAAAATAAACTGTCCAGAGACACTGGGTCCTGCCGGGTGACCCTTCTTCCTCGAGGGCTGCTGCACTCCTCTGTGTGCCTGGCCTCAGCACTCCCCCAGGGCTCTCAGGGTTGGTGATTGTTTGTCTCCTGATGATCTAGCAGGTGGATGAAGGGTACCTGGATGTTGATGCCCGGATGTAGACTACACTGTCAACTCCACCTCCATTCCCCTGTGGGTTTCAGCCAGCTGCCTCCCTTCTGGCTCTGGGGCTGCTGGTTCTTGAATTATTTTTCCCCTCTTCATCCATTCATTTATTCATTCAATAATCATGGAGCATCTGTTATATGCCAGACATTGCTCTGGGCTCTGGGAGCACAGGAGAGCCTTGCTCTCATGCAGCTAATGTGTAGTGGACAGGGACGGACAAAACCCAGAGACCTGGTATCTGTGTTCTCATGTGGGTGCAGAAGATGTTAAATGTGATTGGAAAAAAAAGAACAGG